CGCTGGCCTTGTTCCCGGCCGCAGAGACGTGGGCAGGCACAGCTGGCCACGTGGAGTCAAGGCCTTAGTGTTAGAGAGAGACACCGGGGGGAATAAACTCACGCTTTGCCATTGCAAAAGGCTCTTCCGTCGAGCTCGCCCTGTCACTGGAACACTTGGAACCGCTGCTGTTTCTAGAGTCAGAAAAGCACCAAAGCCCTGATGGTTGGAAATAAACGAGACATTTCCTCTTGCAATCAGCTTGAGCAAGAGTCATTCATAGAAAAAGTGGTAAGTAGCTTGACACACAGGGGGAGACAGGTAACTTGCTAGGAGCAGTGAGCTCAGAATGCGCTTACATTAAAAAAATGGTAAAAAAATGTTCTGTACTTGGGTTGTTTTCCCCCCAATAAGTGGCTTGTTCTACTAAAGATGAAACAGGAACTAAAATGTTTTCCTCTGTTTGCATCAGCTTCCCCTTCGCTGTAGCATGCTCCAAGAGAGTGCAGAGGGCTTGCAACCCGACAGCGAGAGGAAAGCTCACACTGTGGTTAGACTGGGACTGAAGAAATCTGTGCTCACTTCCCAGCTCTTCCCTGGACTTCATGGGGCAGCTCACTTTGCCTCTCTGTGCCTCGGGTCCCTGTATATAAACTGGGGATAATAACCTTTCCTTTCTCCCACCCTTGTCTGACTTATTAGCCTGTAAGATCTGCAGGGCAGGGGTTCTCTCTTACCACGTGCAGCCCTTAGCACCATAGGACTCCCAGCCACTGGAAAAAACAGTCACCTTTCAGTGAGAAAAATCGCCATCTTATGATGCTGATCCTTGAATATCCCCCCAGTCCCCGACTGCAAAGGGAGAGTTGTGTGCGCACAAGGCATGCCTATCCGACCCTACAATAAATGGCAAGGGAAGTTCCCAACCATATTCCTTCCCCGGGCTTCAGAACAGGACCTCCGGGGGAGCACGCTCTGAAATGCTTCCAGTTCCATGGACAGGCAGAACCGCAGGGTCTCCATGACTGGGTAAGACTCACTGGTTTTCAGAGGAGAGATTTAGGTTTATTAGGAACTAGGGAACCTTTTGAGAAAAAAGCAGCCTATAAAGAAAGGATGGGCTCCTCCTAAACCAAAACAGAACCAGATTGCTGGCTTGTAAAATTACAAAGGCTGGAGAGGGATTTTTAAACGAAGGTCTGGGGGAAAGCTGATCGGTGTGGAGAGCACACGGTTCTGACAGAGACATCCCAGAGGGGAGGATCTAGTAATGGGGATACTCTATAGCCTTGTAAAAAGGAGAGGAAAGAAGTCGATAAAGGACAGGTAGGAACTGAAGAGAAACAGTCAAATGAGAAAGAGTCCCGTTCAATTAGAAGGCAGACTACGAAATATTGACAAATGTTAGAAGTGCTCGTATACAAATGTAAGAAGTCTAAATACTAACTTGAACTTGAGCGCCTGGTAGTCAAGGAGGATACGGATATAAGAGGGAGAAGCTTGGTGGAATGATGATAATCAACAGGACACAGTTATACCAGGGTACAAAATATACAGGAATGACAGCGTAGGTCGTGCCGGTGTGGGAGCGGCACAACATGTGAAAGAAAGCAGAGAGTCACATAGAGTTAAAATCTTAAATGAATCAAACAGTCCCATAGTATCTCTATGGGTAGAAATCCCATGCTTGAATAATAAGAGAATAGCAGTAGGAATATAGTACCGACCACATGACCAGGATGGTTACGGTGATATGCTCAGGGAGATTACAGAGACTACAAAAACAGAAAACCCAGTAATAATGGGGGATTTTAATTATCCCCATGTTAACTGGGAACATGTCACCTAGGACGGGATGTAGAGATAGTTTCTAGACACCATTAATGACTGCTTCTTGGAGCAGCTTGTCCTGGAACCCACAAGGGGAGAGGCAATTCTTGATTTAGTCCTAAGAGGTGCACAGGATCTGGTCCAAGAGATGACTAGAGCTGGACCACTTGGTAATAATGCCCATAACATAATTAAATGCAAGATCCTTGAAGGGGGAAAAATACCCCAGAAGCCCATCACAGTAGCATTTAACTTCAAAAAGGGGAATTACACAAAAATGAGGAAGCCAGAGTTAAATGGAAATTAAGAGGAACAGTCACAAGAGTGAAATGCCTCCAAGCTGCAGGGAAACTTTTTAAAAACACCATAATAGAGCCTCAAACTAAATGTACACCCCTTCCCCCTCCCCCCCCCCAAAAAAAACCCAGTAAGAGGACCAAAAAATGCCATCATGGCTAAACAGAGTAAAAGAGGTACTTAGAGGCAAAAATGCATCCTTTAAAAATTGGAAGTCAAATCCCACCGAATAGAAAGGAGCATAAATTCTATTTCTATTTGAGCATTGGCCTGCTAAACCCAGGGTTGTGAGTTCAATCCTTGAGGGGGCCATTTAGGGATCTGGGGCAAAAAATAAGGGATGGTACTTGGTCCTGCTGTGAAGGCAGGGGACTGGACTCGATGACCTTTCACGGTCCCTTCCAGTTCTATGAGATAGGATATCTCCATATTTACTGTTAGAAGGCAGGATACTGGGCTAGATGGACCATTGGGCTGACCCAGTATGGCCGTTCTTATAGTCTTATGTTCTGTTCGTATCTGTAGAAGAGGCTGCATCCCCAAATCCATCTCCTCTCAGCAGCTGGGGCAGGACTGGATCCGTTTTGGAGTGTGCTGGGCAGATGCCCATGCAGTTCAGACATATCAAGAGAAGCTGGTAGCTATTTACATTCATACCAAATCCAAGTGCATTAACTTGAGTATTCTGGGACACACAAAACACGTTGAGGCCAGACGGTGTGAAGAGGCAAAATGCTTTTGATATCCATGGAACTGTAGTACTGAGGATCTGGCCCCAATACAACACAGGAAACCTTAGGCAAGTGTTCAACTGAAGGGACTAAAGCAACAGCAGCCTCATCTCAGAGTCGGAGTGTCAGAATGCCAACTCCAACCCTGCTGTTGCTGCAGAGATGGTCCCTGTTATGGTCTCTGAACTGGTACTGAATTTGCTTCTTGTCTGTTATTTGGAACAGCAGGGTCAAGGCTCATTCTGGTTCTTCTCTTCTCTGGCTTTGATCCCTCTCAGTCGTTTCCAATTCATTTCATACTTGAAACATGTTGTTTGTGGGTTTGGGATTCCAAAATCTGCTCTTTTACAAAAGCCAGCAGCAGCTAACTGTGAAAATAAAGAGCTGGTGGCATTCAGCTCAGGGTTATTGAGCTTCTGGGTTGATTTGCCCAGATTCACGCATGTAGTATTTAAAATAATGTAGGTAAGATTAATATTCAAAGGATCTGTCCTCGTCAGGTGTCTCACTGGAGGCTGGGCTTGTCCCGATTATCATGGCCGGCCTAGCACCACTGATGTTGACCCTTCCAGCAGTGCAGGCAATAGGAGAAGTGCCATTTAGCTATTAGAGAGGTGGAAACCCTTTGCACCTTCACACTTTTAATAATTCTTGAAGAGCAAAGTTCCTTCCCACATTCTGCTCCAGCTGAGAACTTTCCTACAGAGCTGCTCAGCACAGAGATACAAGCCGTCACCCTTCCTAAAACCAAGGAAGAGCCCTCGGGCTTGGTGTCTTGTGCTGGAACCATGTTATGTGTGTATGTGGTGGTGGGGATTGGAAATTAACATGTAATGCTCTTCTGTGACGCTGTTGCTACCAGTCCAGACCACAGAGTTCTCAATACAGGTCTGTATGAAACAACACATCCAAAAGAAGAGGGCTGAAAAATCCATCTCTCCAGACCAATTTACGGGAAAACTAACCACCCTTTGTTCCGTGTCCAAAAGTTGCATCTGTCAATCCCAGGCTATGCAGGTAATTCCTGTCCTGGCAGCATGGACCCCAGTCTTTTCTAGGAAGCTAATCCATGTGGCAGCAACCTGGTTTGAGCTACAGTTAAATTGGCTCCTTGAACCAAATCTGGCTCAGCACTTCTTGTGCGTCAAAGTTATCATCATCTGAGGTGGTTCAAGGCGCCTGTATGAAGTGAGTGGTGGGCTCAAGCCAGTTGTTGACAGATGTTCAGGTCACAAAAGCCACAATTGTTAGCACTGTCGGGCATTTTTTGTTGGAATTCGAGCCTCTGCTGAGGACTAAATGGGTGTGGACACTTACCAACTCACTCACTCATAAACCTTGTCTACATTACAAAAATTACCAATAGCAACTATGGGTGTCAGCAATGAGTTAATGAGCTAACGTACACGGCTGGCCAAGACTCCAGCCGTAATTCCTCTACGTGAGGATGCGGTGTCACAGTACATGCTTCACCAGCTTGGTGGATAGCGAGAGGAATTCAGTGTTGTCATTCCTGAACCATACAAGATCATGGGCTACTTCAATGGGAATTTGGGATCGTGGGGTTTAGCTCTTGGAAAATGGTGGTTGAATGACTACTACACTGTGCCATTCATTTGATATCTAGCATGCATGTTAAGGGAAAAATTAATACACACATTTTTGTGCTACAAAAGGTGCAGACATTTGAATCACATTCAATTTATTCTTCATGGTTATCTTCAAATGCATAGTATCTATCTCCTCCCCAATTACATCAAAAATAGGGTCAGCAAGAAATTAAGAAAAAATACAAAACATAACATGTCATGTGTCTCAGAAGGTCTAAGGCACAAGAGAAACCAGTAGGCAGTGTCTGGAAAGTTTACTTTTATTTTTCTAAAATACAAATTTCTTTCTTGTGTTAGTAACTTCAATATGATAAGCCTAATGCATCCAATAAAACGGATGCACTAGCTACATAATTCAAAATACTGAAGGTATTTTCTGGAAAGAAATTTATTCTGTTGTTCTACGCATCGGGTATAACATTGAATCAAATTTCATTAGTTTTAATTTTTACATCAGAACCTTTAAAGACTGGGACTAAAACTGGAACTTGAAAAGTCTTTAAAGTGAACTCCTATTAACGTGTAGATATGGGTCCATAAAAAACATAACCAAGAATTTTATACACTTTATTAAAAGATCAAAAAATAAACAATAACAATATAGAAGTAACATACTAAAATGAGTAGCATTATGCACATTACTAAAGCACATACAAGCACTACAGCAATATAATGTGGCAAAAAGAAAAATAAATTCAAAGCGTACACCTTGTTGATAGCAGTTGAGGGAATGAACTATATTATGTTCTGGAACTGAAATATCACAAGTCTTTATCTGTTGGGATTTGCTGATGATATTTTAATTTGTTACAATTCCACAGGGCTAGCAGTATTTTTTTTAATCTAAAACTATTTCATTAAATTAAATTGACATCTGTCTAATGATTCCCTTACTTTAAGTTTCACCAGAAGTATCTAGGAAAAGAAGAATGTGCTTCCGTATCTACTTTATACAGGACAATAATATTAATGTTCTATTTATGTAAGTTAAAAATTGAAAATTTAGGAGAACATTCTCTTCCTGATTTTAGTGATTGCCTAAAATACAATTCTCTATTATTATTTTTTAACGGGTGATCTAGTGTCAAATGACATAACAATGGATGGTTTTTTTAATGATTTAAAATAATAATAAAATCTAATTTGAAAAAAAATCCCACAAGCCTATCTAAGAATGGTCACGTCATCCCCTCATCTGCTAGGATACAAAAGCCATGGCAACAAAATCATTTGGCTTCCACCACTATCAAATAGCATTTGTGTACAGTAATAAAGAACTGGAACCTTGTAATTCTGTGTCAGGTAATTCTCTCTGTTGTGTGTTTGGATAAAAACTTAGTTTTATTTAGTAGTTGTGTTATTTTTGCATGTTTAAATATCTCATTCGAGAGGCATGTGCAGTTTTTATTTTGATGATAGAGAATATGACTGTAAAGGTCACTAGCAAAGATTTTAGCTGTGGTGTTGTGATTACAGGGTCTTCTCTTACCCTAGTGAAAAAAAGTTTTACTGGCTGTGATTCATTTCACATAGTGCAAAGTATTTTTGTTTAATTATCCTGCAAAGGAGAACGCGCTTAATTATAAAAAAGACTTACACCAAAGGAGAGCGCTCCCTGGCCTGCAGGCATGCATTGTTACACAATAATGCACTGGTGCCAACTAGCTCATTACAGTAGCCAAACCTAGATTTTGATGGGGCCCATGAAAGAGCCAACAGCTCCAAAACGTTTTCCCTCATTTAGTTCACTTTGAAAGACGACAGGATGAATTCGACCTTTAGTTACACTCATGTTACCCTACTGAGGTCAATGGGATTGCCTGGGTCTAAGGCCCTGATTCACCAGGATACCGGGACAACTCACCTACTTCAAAAATTAGGCACGCCCGTAAGTACTTTGCCAAACTGGGGCCTAACTGATGGCCGAAGCTGGCCTGTGAACATCCACCTGCAGCAGTCCTCCATTCCTTAGTGAGAGACAAAACCCAGTTCTTCGAACTCCCAGGAAGGAATGAAGGCTCAGGTGCTAAAATTGACGGCTGGGGGGAAAATATCAGAAATACCAGCCACTTCTACTACACAATGCTGATCTGGGACATTTAACCCAATGTGAAGGTCTAACCCAGCCTTTTCAGAGACCCGCCAGGATTTTCTGTTCCACGATGCTATTGGTTTGAGTTGACTTTTGGTGATTGTACAATGCAGGTCTAATTAAAAATCAGGAAAAGAATCCCAGGCTTTCCCTTGCCTTTGGGTCCCAGCCATCTACTATGGGGAAACGATATTTTAAACCATGAATCTTTTCCCCCCCATCATTAGTATTTTAACATTTTATTTTAGCAAATGATGCCGCTGCAATAAGGCACGGAAGGGCAAGCAGCCAGGCGTACAAATACACTTCTAGGGGCAGAGCGGTATACGGCTCTGATGGGAGTTCCTAACAGGGCGAGTTATTATATGTTACGCTGAGAGCACTGTTCTACAATCCTTGCCCAGCCTACGCTCCCCGGGAAATCAATGGGAAGTCTGGAGCACAGGAGATGCAGGAGTGGGCCCCATTAGAAAGATCTGCTAGCCAATCAGATTTCTGTCCCTTACTGGTGAAAGTAAAAACACCTCCCAACCCAGCCTTCCGCCCATCCACAGCCTTTTGTCCTCGGCAGCGCTGCATGAACACTGGGGTTTTACGTGCTGAGTTGCCGACTAGCTGTGATGCTGTTCTGCAAGCGGTGGCTAAAGCAGATGGCAAGAGGCGAGGGAGCTCACCAACTCTAGGGGCTGGCGACACTGGTTTTGATGGTCACGTCACTGTCCCATTTGCTGGTGACAGGATTCAGCCAGAGGACGAGCAGGGGGAGAAGACGAGCTCATTTCCCCCAGCAGGCCTGGAGCGAGGCAAGTGAAATGATGGGTGCACCTGCCGTGCACAGAGCCGGGCACGTCCCTGGGATTCCCTCCCCCGCTTCCAGACAGTCCATCATTTACACTCCACCAGCATGGAGGAAGTGCACTAATGCAAAAGCAAAGTGCATGGCGGGTTTGGGTGGATTCCGCCCCAGAACGGCTGGACGCAGCTGACAGAATTTGAGGCCATTTGAAGAGACTACAAGAGAGATTTTTTTAAACGTCAGATCTGGGTGTTATTTATCCACCTTTCCTTGCAGTAGGGAAAGCGAGAAGATGCAGGTAGGGCGTGTCCCATTCTCTCCCTGGCCCTGGAGGGGGGTGGAGCCTGTCCGGGGATGGGGAATCTGCTCACTCAAGGAGGAGAGGGCGCTGAGGAAGGGGCAGAGGGGAAGCTGAGTTCCCTGCTCCCTCCTCTACTTTAACCCATGCAACAGGCTAACACCACTGCAGTGATCAGCATTCGCATTCCAACCTCCCAGCCCACCAGGCCACAATGGAACCTCCCCCACCAAGCAATCCAGGCGGCGTGACAGAACACTGCCCTGGATCAACGGCTCTCGCGCTAACAAAACGCCAAGGCAGTTCAGCAGCAGCAGACAAGTATCCCAAGACAATCGTAAACAACCCAAGTTCCACCACTTGCTTAGAATCATAGAATATCAGGGTTGGAAGGGACCTCAGGAGGTCATCTAGTCCAACCCCCTGCTCAAAGCAGGGCCAATCCCCAACTTTATTGCTCCCTTAAAACTTGGCAAGCTCTTGAAATGTCTCTCCCAGCTTCCACATTCCGTGCGGATAAAATCCCCAATGAATGGCTATCGTTCAGTTTCGCGAATCTATCATAGATAAAACCAGTATTGGCTAGAAAGAAGATTAGGGGCTAGCAGAAACGCCTGTGACATTCAGGTCACAACATGATTGATAGTGAGCACCACTTCTTATAAAAACCATGATCTAGAATGTGTTTTAAAATGTAGGCTGCTATAAAAGCAATTAAAATCTTTGCTAATGACCGTACTAATTAATTAAGTACTGTTTCCCATTTTCGGTGCTGCAGGTTGAAGCTGACCTGTTATCAGTCTGCTGTATAGTAAGCTATGGCAAACTACAAAGCTTTTACAACAGCAAAGCAACATCATGCTTTCAGATAAGTTTTATAGCAAAAAACTCCTCCTTTTCAAAGCCTTAGTAATACCTATCTCTTTTACAAACTTTTCCTGTATTATTACAGACTTTTTATATTCAAAATAAGTTCCAAGGATTTCTTTCGTGGACTATGTACATAAGTGCAAAAAAGGTGTGTCTCACACATTCGTACACTAACTGAATCAGTTTAACTGCAGCATATTTGTATCTTCAACACTGTTACGGGGTCATTCCACAATATTTTTCTTATGTACAGGTTTTGCTAATATAAATTAGTATTAAAATATTCATAGGTTTAATTATTTAGCCCTGATTTTAACATAATCGTGTGAGTATTCAATTTCAGGAAAAACAATAATTGCAGTCAGACTACAGTACTTGAACTGGTTACTTATGAATTCACACAATGATGATCAACAGGAAATGAAATAAAGACCAGTTAATGTATTGTAAATGCTGGGTGTTACGTTTTAAAACCTAAAATACTGTGGAATAACCCTAGCCACACAACAATTTCTACAAGCTATAAAACCTGACTCTAAATCCATGTGTTGTAAACTTCTTGACTGAAAAAGTGACCTAAAGACACAAATTCAGCTTTCACATGGGACTTTGGGATTTTAAAAATATTCAATCATATCTTTATCTGACAGTATCGAACTGTACCTTTAACAAGCTCATACTGTTACACATCACTTTTAATTTACATGTGAAAATTTCACAAATAATGTATACAAAGGTAGCCATGTTGTAGTTTTGTTGCCATAGCAACAACAACTTAATATAATTAGTTAACAATGAATCTATCATTGTAGGAGTTACATACAAAGTTAATTTTGTTCTTAAACTGTAAACTATACAAACTAGTTATGGACTATATTCTATACCTTATCATGCTTCAGTATTGGTTTAGAATATAACTAAATGGGTTGAATACATGTATTAAAAATCTTAAACTTTCTCTAATTCTCCTTCAAAATTAAATTCATTCGTTACTAAAGATATCAAAAAGCAATAATGAAAACCTTAAAAACTAACAGTAAAGAAATGAAAATATGTGACATGAATTAATGTGTTGATGCCTAGTAACTATGTGTTGTAGCTATATTTACATTTTGATTAGGCTATCAACTAATTTTTTTAAAGTTATTACAGTCATTAACATACAGTATATATTCTAAGGCCTTCAACAGGCACATGGTAAAATCAGGTCAATATCACACTAAATCCATTCAACAGGAATGGGAAATTAGATTTTCCTCATAAATTTCACCTTTTTCAATTTTCATGTATGTGAAATGTACAAGGGATAAAAAATGAGGACTCCAGTTTCTCAATCATTCTGTGTACTAGCATGTTCTATAGCCTATTCTACTGCATTATGAAGGAATATGTGAGTTTATGAACACATTTGATCAGATACATGCATCTCATTATCTGGCCAGATGTATCTACAACAGTCACATATTCATATACGTTGTTGTGTTTATTGTTTGTGCAGCTAGAGTATAACAAAGTCATTTTCATTGGACTCTAACCTGTGTTTTGTAGCTGACTGTATGTTGAGAGAACACCTCACAGGAACGGAGACTGTTCCATAAGCCACCCAGGGAGCGCAAAGGTTTTGTTTTGCAGAGTGCAGCCAGCCAGCACCGTCCATTTGAGACCACTCTGAGTGCAGTACGAGACGACACTTATGGCAGAGAGAAAAGTGCTTCAGAGTGCTCAGGAATGGAACGAAGCGGATGTGGCCAGAGAGGTAACGATTTCTCTAACATGGTGATGCAAAAATACAAAGACAAAAATCATCCACTAGAAATTTAAAAATAAAAAACACGGTTGATTGCAAAATCAGATTCCAATCACTAAAAACACTGAAGTTAACAAAAATAATTTTAATAGTTTTATGAATCTACTTTATTTTAAATCCCTCTTATTGTCTGCTTATGTTACAGTTTAGTAGCAGTATTTTTTTTATTGAAACTACTAACAACCTTTTTATGAAAATGATCATTCTCAGCTTTCATTTTCCCTCTGCATGACCCGTTTTATCCAAGTTTCAGCATTTCTTGCATATTGTTTGCATAAGGCTGAGAGAAATGGACAAAGAGAAATAACTTTGGATAAATAAAAAATATAGGTTCATGGAAAGTGGGAAGCTTATAAAAATGTCACTAAAATTATATTGATTTAAACAAACTTACATACATCTCTTGTCAAATAAAGGACGAAATCCATGCTTTTATGACATTTCTTTAGAGTCACGAACTAGCGCGGTGACTTTGTAATAGAATGCATCTATTTAGGAAATTTATAGTCTGGCGACTGGTTTTCTTTTTTGAACAAAGAAAATTAGAGCAAATCATTGCACAACTCGTTTAAATAGTGCTACCTCAAAATGGCATTTTTGCCGAGATTGTTTTGAATTTGGTGAAGTTTTAGTGCTTCAAGCTTTTCTTTCCTTAAACTCACTTAAAAGTGAACTCTAAATCTGCCAGCAATATAAAAACTGTTGTGGCACCTAATATATCTACCCTGAACATCCCTCATTGGACCTCTTTACTAAAAAATAATCCTTAATTTTTTTTCAGTGCTTTAAATGTGACATGAAAACAGCCGTATTCTAGGTTTACATTCTATGCACATCTATGCCAGATGTTTAAGTAGTTAAATAAAAGAGGAGGTTACATCAAAGTGTCAAGATATACAAAAATCCATTTAGCACTGAAAATGTTCCAACCTCCTTTAACCCATAAAGCCATACAAGCTTGAACACATCCTTTCTGGCTTACGAAGATCAGGTCTGTTCTTTGTTGAGGCACTGGCACAGGTTGTGCAAAACCCATTTTGATACACAAATAATTTCAACAGGAAGTACTCAAATCCACTTTTTCCACTAACAATGTTATGATTTTGGGAAACAGAAACTCAGTGGTTAAAAGAACAGGTATTCCATAGCCAATATATATTAGAGTTGCTAGTTTCAGGCAACACTGTATGTTTTGAATGCTGACAGCTGGGGAATGTGTAAGGACACAAGCAAAGGTTAATACGTGAGGCTGGCTAATAGATTACCATATTTTGTTCCTTAGGGCCTGATCCAAAGCCCACTGAAGTCAACAGGAAGATTCCCCTTGGTTCAGGCCCTATGTGAACTGACTATGGACTCTACATGGGGTCTTGTTTCTGAAGGAACCAAAGCTAGATCATAAAGTGACGCTCCAGTTGTGTCTAGCAGGCACCCATAACTTGCACCTGTTATTGGTAACGTTAGCAAACATCTGTAAGTGCTCAGGTGAAGGGGCCAGGTGACGGGACAGGGACATTTACTACACAATGTGAGGAATCAAAAAGGAGATAAAAATGCGTATGTCAGAAATCACACAACAAGACGACCACTCAGCCAATGGGAGTTCAGGGTGGCACTCGCACTTGGGGTTGTAAGGGCCCGATCCTCAGAGATGCCGAGGGCTTTCAACTCCATTGACCTCACTAGGCTCCGAATGATCGGTGCCCTTCCAGAAGACGCTCCACACATCAGAGGCCCAGGCCCTTAAACCACCACAGAACAAGCGGCCCAGACTGCCCACATTTTCCTGGCACAAAATGGAGGGCATCGCACCTTCCCTCGGGAGGGGCAGGGGAGGGGAAGGCTCTGGCCTCTAATGTTAGAAGTTAAAAAGTGAACCTATTAATTTTATCTCCAACGTGCGGTTGTTACCGCCATAATATCACTGCCCCTCTGCTTTCCTCAGCAATCACCAGACTCCATTGTGTTTATAAGCAGCTCGGCCTTTGGACATCAGGGTTAGCCTCTCGGGAACTGGGTTCGTGCCTTTTACAGCAGAGGGGTAGGGATATTCCGGTGCTGCTTCAGCAGCAGCTCTCCAGCTAATACAGGAAAAACTAGCCCCTCACAGATGGCAAAGGCCAGCCAGGGTGTTTGGAGCACCCCCTCTGCCAGTGCAGGACTGTTTATAGGGGACACGTCCTCAACCCACATTGATCTCGGTTCACAGTGCCAAACTACGTCACTTGGGAGGCTATTCCACGTACTAACTGATCTCGCTTTCCGGTGTTTTTTCCTGATATTTTGTCCAAAGTCTCCTAATGCCCCCTTGCATGTCCTTGAACAATTACTTGCTGTTGACACTCTTCAATTATTCAGAGACTTATAGGCCAAATACATCTCTGGCATAACTCCACTGATGTCAGTGGACTTATGCTGGGGATGAACGTGGCAGCGGCATCCCTGCTTTAGCCAAGCCAAGATTTGTTTTCTGGTGAACGTAGTCAGCAGCTGGACAGAATGGCAGTGTGTGCTGGGCAGGGCGTGGGGGGTTGGTCATCCTTCAGTTTACTCATCGCTCCTGATCAAACAAAAGATGCCAAAATGCATCCACTGATCCAAGGAGTTAAATCTCTGAAAACCATCTAGGCCTGGTAAACTCAAGGGTCGTTGTCTTTGTTGCTTGTTCTTTGTTTATTTGTTTTTGCTCTTGGGGAATGTCTCTGACTTAAAGGTGAAGTACATTACGGGGGTAGGCTGATGAAATGTCAGGGAATGCCCCCACCAAATTTCCCAATGAATTCTGCTGCGCACTTAGTGGAGACAAGGGCAACTGGGTGGCACCATCTTCCCTAGGCAGAGTGTGTGTGTGGGGGTATTTTCATAATTTTAAATCAAAATTACCCATTCCAGGTCTACGTCTCTGGGTTTCAAGGGGACTACAGCTACGTTTCCTTGGGGGATTGGGAGGGGTATCCTTTACCCCTCTGAATCTGTCTCATCACTTACTCATCTGTTTTGTGGGAGGTTTTGTTTAATGGCACTACTTAAATAGCAAGAAAAACGGTGTGCCATTTGGAGCTAAGAATGGCACTGCAATGGACAGCAAAACTGGAGTCATTCCTTGTTTTCTGATGCTTTCTGAATAAATCTCCCCCTTCAGCTGATATCTAACTTTTTACTGAGTGTGTTTTTTGTTTATTACGTAGCAAAGTTTCTCTTTTCAGGAAGCCAGACTCAACTCACTTAGTAAAACCCGTGAACTGGGCTAACAGGCCTGCTGTCCCTTCATAACACATAAATCTGAGACTCTCCTTGAAGGCAAATTCCAGATCTTAAAAGGAGCCATTTAAAACAAGCAATGTAAGCTGATGAAAACAACCACACTATAGAAAAGGACAGAACATTCTTGTGTCGTGTTTTTCAAGCACATAATTCCTGTTTCCCACTGTAACATTTTTAGTAAAAAAACCAAAACCCCAAAACAAAAATATCCCCCCCCCAACCCAGAAAACTACAGTATATGAAAACTTAAGACATAACAATAATGAAAAAAATGGTATTGAGTATACTTGATAATGATGTACACTTTAAAACAAATCCATAGACTATGATGTAAACAAAACAGTAAGATAACACTTTAAAAACAAGACAAACATTTATCCATCGATAGTATACAGTAAACCAACAGTCCACTGTGCAGATGCACTTATGATGGTAGTCATAAAATGATTACGTGTGTTAAAGTAATGTGTTATAAAAGTCTATTATAATTGTCTACTTGTATATCTCATATAACAGAGCGCTGTTTGTTAATTGTTTCTATAGTGTTCTTTTTTTTTTTTTTTTTTTTTTGACATTCCCATTGATCAGTTTTTGGTTAACATGTAGGCTGCAACAGGCTTACTGTAGAGGTGGTCGAGGAAGAAATGAGGGAGGAGGGAATATATACAGAAAGGCCATGTGCAGCTTCCCACCGAGAAGTCCTGGAACTCCGTAATTTTACTCTTCAGAATTTCAACATAGTCTGCTGGAGGGGGAAGGGGGGAGAATAAACAGTGAGAAATGGGAAATCAAAAATCATGCTCATCTTGTTTTTACATTTTCTAACGGGATCTGTAGACACCCTTACTGCAGCACACAAGGACTTTCTGTCTGCGTGCTGGAGAGATGCAATGTTTTACTCACTTAATTTTCTGATTTAGGGTGAAATTGCTAACAACACACTTGGTAGCCTCCTTAATCTGTACTTAGAGCTTTCCATCCTAAGAGCGCATCGCAAAGGCTGACACTAATCTACAGAATACCCCCGTGAAATGGGAAGGCGGGGGAGTATTAGTCTGATTTCAGAGATGAGGAAGTGGGAGCAGAGAGCATAACAGCCTGGCTTGCAGAAGTGCTGGGCACCTGTACTTCCCATCGGCTTTAATGGGAACGGGAGAGGCTCAGCACCTCTGGAAATCAGGCTACAAGTGACATAGAAGGAGTCAGGGTCAGAGACAAGAGCAGAACCCAGAAGCCCTGCATTCAGACCATACCTGATCTCCTTTATGTGCTTCTGGAATTCCCACCCTTAAAGTCGGGGGCACAACAGCTAATGTTGCAGCTGGGTTAGCCAGCTTTGACAATGTCTTTGCCTCTGGCTGGGGAAGCCTCTGGGGATACTTCAGGTGTCTGGGGAACTGAGCTACCTTCAAATCCACTGCTATGTTGTTTACCCTCCTTCCATGGCGATGACACCCCATGCAGGGCCCAGCTCTGGAGAATCATTTTGCAGCTTGGAAAATGCTGATTTAGACTCTGACCCAGCAAAGCAGTCAAGCATGTGCCTCACTTCAAGTGCTTACATTTATGCACATGCTGGCTCGGCGCCTATCTGCCTACGCCTGGGGTGACATCCCAGAAACCGAAAGGAGAGTTCATGGGGCAGTCCTTTATCCTGGGGACACACCTGAGGAAACAATCCTTGTTCACCGACCTCCAGGGCAGACTGCAAAGCCCATTTGCTTTCCCCAGCTGTGGGGGGACTGCAAGGACAAGCACGGAAATGCTTTGCTGAATAGGGATGGAATAAGAATGTGCGTAAGTGCTTTCCAGGAGCGAGGCCTCTACCTGGGCGTGCAAGTGTGGTTAGGTGTCTCACTCTTTGTCCACACAGGCTTTCGACGTGAGAAACTTCATAGAGTTTCAGAGGCTGCTTTTGAAATGAGGAACCTAAATGTTTCAAGTAGGAGACTTCCCATGTCCTGGGAATGTCACAGACTCGGTCACTGTTTGAACAGCAAGTACCTGGGCCCCCTATCATGAAAAAACTTGAATCATACGGTTTTCCCTCACCTCTTAGGAAACGGTTCTCAATTACTGATAGCATAAGTCTAAGAACTCCAAAAAAATAAGTCAAAAGGGGAAAAAAGTACACTGCAATAAAGGCTCAGAAGTATTGCAAAGAGATCAAGAATGAGCTCAGGTTTTCTCTTTCAAGCCAATAACCTGCTATTGGGCGGAACACACTACTTCGCACGTGTTCGAGAAATGATTTAACACCTAAGGTGTCAAGTTAGTCTGGTGTTTCTGAAAAGCGATGCACAACATAAAGCAGAAAATTGTCATTACCAAGGCTATCTCGGCATTCAGGCAGATGCTGGCAGGGATGACAGACATGATGAACACTCTCTCCACATACAGTATAGTTTACTTAACTTGGTAGAAATCAGGGACAGAACCATGTGCAATTATATCGGAAATAATTGACAACTGCCTTCCAAATCCATTTCCAGAGCTTAAATGCAAGTCGTTCCCTTTCATTTTTGTCCTGGGGAAAAGCTGGCCCACATATTTGTGCAAATAAAATGGCTTCCATCATCACATTCAGTGAACACCCCTTTCTTTCCTTTAGTTTCTCAGTGGTAAAAACGCAGTGAAATCCCTATGTAAATAATAGCCTACCCATGCAAATAACAAGAAATTGAAAACAACACTGATCCCACTGTGAATTTATATCAAACAAATCCAAAAAGGGGCAACATACTCTATATTCTCACTCAGAGAGCAACAGCAGACTATGAACGCACCAGGCTTTGCAAGGTTGTGGAAGAAGAAGATTGTTTGCAGTCTTTGAGCCAATTATCATAGTGAACAAGAATCTCTGAAGGAAGAACATTAGGTGACAAGTTCTCAGCTGATGTGAATCCATATAACAACAATGAAACTACTGAAGCTATGTTGATTGACACCAGCTATCTCAGGGGTGGGCAAACTACGGCCTGCAGGCCGGCCCCGGCCCCTCAGGGCTTTGGATCTGGCCCGCGGGATTGCTCCCCGTGGCGCTGTGGACCCTGCGCTGCTCTCGGAAGTGGCCGGCTCCACGTCCCTGCGGTCCCCAGGCAGGGTCTCAGAGGGCTCTGTGCGTTGCCCTTGCTTCCAGGCACCACCCCCAACAGCTCCGATTTGGCCAGGAACGGGGAACTGCAGCCAATGGGAGCTTCGGGGGAGGTACCTGGAGACACAGCAAGGGCAGCGCACGCGGAGCCCTCCACCCCCGCTCCCCCAAGGGCCGCAGTGCTTCCTGGAGTGGCACGGGGCCAGAGCCTGAACCCCTCCCCCCAACTCCCTGCCCTAAGCCCCCTGCCTGCACCTCACACCCCTCCTGCATCCCAACCCCCTGCCCTGAACCCTGTGCCGCACCCCTCCTGCACCCCTTCCCTGAGCCCCCCATACACCCAGCACCCCTCCTGCACCCCAACCCCCTTCCCTGAGCCCCCTCGATTACCCCACACCCCTGTGCACCCCAACCCCTGCATACAATTTCCCCACCCAGATGTGGCCCTCCGCCCAAAAAGTTTGCCCACCCCTGACCTATCTGGTCCTAGTTCCTCAAGTTGAGTAAATCTGCTACTAAGTGCAAAACACAGCTTAGACTTTTTAGCTGACTCTCGCTGTCAAAATATTATTTATCCTCAGTAGCACGTGCTTCATAAGAATGAGTTACACTGGGGAATTGGCTAAGTAGTTTGGAACTGTCCAGTACATGAAACGGTCACATCAGGAGGGGTTCGGTACATTTTAAAGCAGACATTTTAGACGGTACAAAAACCGTTGTTTATCATAAGCCCTGGACTTGGGTGTGGAATTCCTGTTGACTGCAAGTTCTGCATGCAGAGAACCGAAGGAGTAGGGTGAAGTGGCACTTTTAGAGGATTCAATACCCTTATATAAAAAAACCCAAGTGTAAATATAACAGTGAAAAGAAACTTACTGTTCTATCGGTAACTTCTACATCTGTGAAACAAACATGCTGCTACTCAGTTCATCTACTGATAACTGGGATATCTACAGTAAAAGAGATGTCACATTAATACATTTTCTTGAGATCATTCTATCTCTCCATTCATTCTTCAGTGCTCGTTTAAGACTAATCAATACATATAACCACTATTCAAGCAGTATCTTATAGAACATGAATTGATCCCAGCATTTATCTATTTTACCAGGCATAAATAACTACCTAGTTATGTCATTATTAATGCCCAGTGCAGTACATGGTGATTGAACTTGGGAGACCAACTCCATAGACTGTAAGACAGCAAAATGCTCTGTAAACTGCAATTGGGAAGGTTTAGGTATCACTTATAAAGAGACACAGCCATTTACGAACACTGCATAGGAATTCGTGTTTTCTTCTTGTGGCTGTCTAATTATTATTAGAACTAAAACTAGCAAAAACCAGAGAAACAAAATAGTTCTAGCTAGTGTAGACAGGCAAGCACTTGCAACAGGCCAATTCTGAGCTCAGTCCTTATTCAGGCAAAATTCCCATTACACTCCCCAAGGCTGTGTGTCTGAGTGAAGCCTGGTGAAGACCTACAGGATTTGCCCTCGGTAATTATCACCGTATCGTAGCAGTAGCAGTGCCCTGTAGAATAAGGGGATACCTGCTTTTTCTTTGAGTGGCTCTGAACCGGAGCACGGTGATGAACTAAATAAAACTGCAAACATTATAATTGAAAAAAACCTACTGTTCCAAACTCTACCCTGGCCTAACCGGGAGATGTGGTGGTTTATTGGATGTAAAGAAGCATTCCTAAGATTTTGCGTATACAGTTCAGGACGGGTGCAGAAGCAGCCATCTCGGTTTAATACCTTCAGAGCAATGTTTTGCAGATCATGACGGCTAGGCAAACATGCATGAAATCCTTTATATTAATGGCACTGGCAAAACAGTACATACTATACATACAATGTAAATACTGTAGGGATGGGTGACTACTACTGCTTTAATACACTTGAACCTTCATCCATGTTGTTATTTTAGAACCCAAACTTGTTTTTTTTCACTTCCACTCCCGAGCCAGCCCAGGGCAGCCAAAATACCACAGGAGAGCCTGGTCAGTGTGGTATTTCTGGTGAGGACAGAAAGCAGGAGTGCCTTCAATCGTATGAGAAAACCTCTTTTCTTTGTGAGTTTTACATGGCTCCGAAGGTCTGGAGAATGTGGGGACGCTTCAGAGAAGCTTCCAGGGTTATGGATGCTTCTCCAACCGACATTTGAACTCTGGCCCTTCCAAGGCTCGCCCATCCCTGGGCTATCACCACAGTTCCTTCAGAGCCACCCAGCCCGATGAGCCAGTGCCCCTGACCAATCCCAAAAGTATACATGCTGCCTTTCGAAGGGCCCGATCCTGTGCAGGGCAGAGCGCCTCGTCGGCGGTTCCGAAGGCCCTCCGTCCCTCAAGGACACAAAGGGACTTAGAGGGGCTCAGTGCCTCGCAGACGGTGCTCAGCACCTTCTAGGATCGGGCCCTCAGAGTCATCTACTTCTGAACATGTGAAAGAAAGCTATTTAAAGGGCCAAACCTGATTGGCTGTAGCTGTTGCAGCGAAGGGGACGCTGGTGGCAGGTGTTGTTGCTGCAGACACAGTGGTGGGCGTAGCACCGTGCATCATGGGCACTTTCAGTAGGGAACCATGGAAGCGACATACGGGAGGGTGGAGCATTTATGTAACCATGGCAACATGTGGTGGATTTTGGGGGCGTGGCAGGTATCACAGCAACAAGCCATGTGACATCGTCATGAAGGATACACCGGGACGCAGCATGCAATCACAGTGCAAAGCAAGACAGCGTTGGAAAAAAAAATAAAAAAGAGAAAAGGGGAAAAGCCAATTATAATTAAGGAAAAAACTAAAACATTCTCAACACTTAGTACACTTATAAGCAGAACAATGATGTATTAGACTCCAAGGGCCAAATTTCCAAAGGAGGATGGGATGGGGTGTGCTAGCAAAACACTCATGTCACTGCGTGCATGTGGGTGGTCAGACACGCAGTGAATGCAAGTTCCTTTTGTGGGTGCATTTTGGCGAGTGCACCCGTCCCAGCCGGCTTTGAAAGTTTGCCCCCAATTATGAATTAAAAGTACATGGTGCACTTCACAGCAAATTTTCCAACAAGACCTTGTCATCATGGCACATATTACAGCTACGATCCCACTGGGTAACATGGCTAGCCGCTGCAACGTCCTTTTAAAGGTTTTCCCTCCCCGCTCTACAACAGGGCCCTCCCCCGGGGACAGAACAGAGCGGATGGCACTGGGAATGAGGGACTGGCCACCTGAGTGCTGTATGTACATAGTCACCATGTTTCTTTCTATACAATTCTACAGGATTTGGCAAAATTCCCTCTTGGGGTGAGGAGGGAAAAAAAATAATTCCAAATGTTTACAATCCACCTCAACAGAAACAGCCCCCGAAATGACAGATCGACAGTAATTCTATAGACAACCATGACACACAGTAGAGATCTGTAATCTTTCTGTCAGACTCAGAAAGCTCTACTTTTCCATCACGCAGCAGTTAGAGGAAGCACTGCTCACACATGCAGATTGCATTCCAATGGACAGCACTTTAGAGAGGAAGGGAGACGGCTGCTTCCTGAGGAACTGGTGGGGACTTTACGAGCTCCGACTGCCCTCGCAAACGTGTGCGATGAGCATGAAGATCTGCTCAACCCTGGCTTCTCACGCCAGAGCCCCATTAGCATCAGTCAGAGTTAGACAAGCAACTGATGGGGAGGAGAGACCCGTTCCAACTGGCCCTACGTTGGCTTGGGGGTATTCAAGTGAGTTTAGTATACATTTAAATCAGCAAAGGGGATTTCTGTTAAGAGCTTGCCGGCAGGCACTGATAATGGTGTGCACCAGTTGGTCCTGATCCCAGCGTCTGCTGTGGATTGCTAGCTGCCAGCAGCCCTGCTTACACAGATACAGACCATGGTTGTGTATGTGATTTTCTGTCAGACCCTAACAGTGTCACAGGCTCCCTGCACAGCTCTGGGGGAGATGCTGGAAGGGCTTTAGATTGGTCCTCTGCCCTAGCTGCAGTTATATAAACAGTCTTGGGGTCTAATGGTGCGGGTTAGGGATTGGGGGGGTGCTCCACCCAGTGACTGAGGGGATGGGGAACGAGGAGGGCCCTTCACCTGGCAAACAGGGGATGGGGATCAGGGAGGGCCCGCACCCAGTGACTGGGGGGGCAGGGTGGGAGGGACGGGGGGGGGGGTCCTGCACCCGGTGACTGGTGGATGGGGCAGGGCCTGCACCTGGCATCGGGGTGGGGTGGAGGGTAAAGGACCCCGCACCCAGTAACTGGAAGTGTGCATTAGGGCACACTCCGAAGCTGGGCCTTTGATCACTTCCTGTAGCCTGCTGACTGGAAGAGCTGTGAACCAAGGAGAACACCCTCTTTTAGGGCAAGGTCTCATATGCTTTCTTCCCAGTTAGCAGGCTCCCAACTTCATTCCCCAGAGCCAGGGCGAGTTACAGGGCCTGATGCTGCTCTCAGCGCAGCCTGAGTAGGCGGTAAGTGCACTGAAGTCAGTCACTCCTGAGAGAGAGGAGGATCGGGCCCAGCGCCCAGGAAATGGGCATTCCACCAGGCCTTTGTGCCGGGTGTGTGTCTGCGTTCTCCCTGCACCGCTCTCGCCTCAGCCTGGAACAGCACACGACGCAGCAGAGCCCACCACATCCACGGGATCTGGTTGCCCAACTCTTCTGGAAGCTAGTCAATGCTGGAACCAGCGCCTGGCTCCACAGTCTGGCAACCTGCAGGTATCCAGGGCTCTGAAAGTCACGGCCACCACGGAGTGTTATGGCCTATTGGGTAGGAAAGCAATAGCTCCTAACTCATTTCTGCTAATAGGCTTTCAGATCCCTCCCGCCCCTGCCGACCTGTGTTCCTGGGAGAGTCTGCGTTGGTTTTAGAACTGCTCCACCCCCCCCAATGGTATGGTCCGAGAGCACTGGATTGTTACTGGCCTAGCTCCATCCCAGAGTGAAGGCCCAAAGTCCGTCCTTAACCTACCTGCTACATCCAGCTACGGCAGGCGGGAGGGTGAGTGAGCAGCCTCCTCTTACAGTTTGCACAACAATGTCTGATTCTTAGTATGAACCGGGCACAATTCCCCTGGGTATCTGGGTCACCACATCCTGAACCTGAACAACTGGGTTCCAGCATTGACAGCACGTCCTCCTTGGCATTTCCTTCTGGGTGGGGGGGTTCAGTCACAGGGTCAGTGCTATCCTGACATGGGTTTGGGGGTCTGCACAGCACACAGGCCATTTCCTCAGCAGCATATTTAAGAGGCAGATCTCCAGCTGGCGCAAAGCAGTACAGCTCGGCTGACTTACAGAGCCATGCAAGATTCCGGCAGCTGAGGGGCTGGGCCTAAGGGCATCGCTGATTAGAACAATATTACTTTTTCAAAAAATCAGTGTTAAGGAAGATGAAACATTCTCAGAGGCGTGACTCAAATCCAACCCACAAGGTGCTGGATGCCTGATAGTCGAACCACAAAAATCGTCCCATGGCCATTTCCTTTCACTGCATGGCCAGATTCAGGCCACAAAGATACTTGTGCGTAAAGCAGATCCTTTTGTTAGTCACATGAATTACCGCGTTGCACAGAAATTAAAGGGATACAACCATCTGAGCCATCAAGACGACCGGATAGTCAATCACACCACTCAGCCACCCACGTTCTCACGGACGCACAGTAACTCGCTGTCTCTTTCAGGTTAGGGAAAGTTGAGAAGTTTATGTAGAGAAACCTACCAACGCTTGCAGTGGGTGTCATGCACAGTACTGACCCTGCACACCATGCAGTGAAGCGTGGAAAGATGAACAAAAGGGATATTTCATTAGTGAAGCGTTAGTGTTAGAAATAACTTTAACTCAAAGCAGGTGTTCTCTTTGCGGCATTCAGTATTAAAGCACATGCAAAAACAGATTCTGCATATTGATACATAGATATATTAAACTCCGTTTTAAGATCACAGCAAACCAAAATCATTCCTGGATTCTTGGGTAGAGAACGTATTTCCCCTCCCCCTCTCGGAATTAAGTGATGAGTTGCACCATGAGAGTTGGGGACAGTCTGGATTATTTAATATCAAGCATGTCAGTTTCTTGGGGGTGGGGGGAGGGAGAATGGATATTTTAGCACAATTAACACATCACTTTGCAAATATACAAACTGATCATGTTAGAGGCAATAGTGTTTCACTTGCAAGAATTGAACCTTCTGAAGTCTTTGTCTGTTGTAAGATGGGCAAGCCAGCAGGACAGGCAAAGAGGTTACTCTGCAAGCAGGTGTTGTTGGTTTAAAGTCTCTATTAAGCTGAAAGAGGCAGTTTGTCTGGTCTTGACACAGCTCTAACAGTGGTGCTATGTCAGACCTATGCAGGCTTCCCTCGTGCAGCGCCCCAAATGATCAACTGTGCACCTGACCACTGTGTAACTGACACAGGAAAAACTAATGGAAGCAAACATTTCGCCCAGCCTCATGCTGGCACAGTCTGCCTGGCTGTCACCCTCCAACCCAGAGACTGGTTATGTCTGAATGGAGCTGAGTGCATAAAAGCAGAGGCCAAATTGCAGGGTTGCAGTGATGATGGATGTTCATATGATGGGGTGAGAGGCTGCAGCCCTATGGAAAACCAACATATAGTGCGGCAGTGTGGGGTGGGAATATTTTGATGGCTAAAGTGGACTCTTCAGTTCTTTGGAGCATCAAAGAAATCTGCATTTACTGGATTATCTGCATTTGCTTTAAAAACCCCAAACACACTTGTTCTCTGGTTGATGATTTGGTCTGGTCAGACCAATGCTAAAGCCTCCAGATACTAGCAGGTGCCAGGAAATAGCCCTACTGTGCATCAGGCGCATGTGTGACTCAATTGTCATTAATGGGAGTTGAGCCTGCATGGGTGAAAGGCATGATATGGCCATAAGAGTTAGCACAATAACAACAGCTTTGCTGCAAGCGCCACTAATACACCTTGCTATGTAGATTGTGGTAACCGTGTCTCAGGAAGCTGAGACATGGAGCCAGGCTGATGTTAAGAAATTCTCAGTGCTGTCTGATAAGAGGCACCTCACGGACCAGACAAACCATATACCCCAGCGGAAGGAATACGTCTTTTGGCATCTGAAGGAGTTGCTGTGAGGTCAGCCCAACACTGCAAATAGTACTTTGCAGAGTACAATTAGTGATGCTTTCTACTTGGTCTCTGTCTGTCAACATGAAAAGCTACTAAATTGGAAGAACAAATCTTATCCATTCCTGAAATCTGATTATTTTGTATTTAATGTGTGAATATGCCATCTTCTCTTTGCCAAAAGTTTCAGCCTCTTTCCTTTATTAGCCAAAATCCAGAACATGCATGAAAAAGGGTTTAGGTTTCGGGAATCCAGGTTTGATCGTCTAGTTTGACAGCAGAAACTTCCTGTGGCAGGCAGATCTGGTCTCCTATTGCTCTCCCAAACTGGGCCATCTCTGGCTCTGAGGAGTTTTACCACCAACTTCATCTGGGACAGGCACAGGCCCACAATGGATTAATTTAAAAGGTGCTGTCAGAGGGGTGTTTTTGTGTATTTCTATAAATATCATTGGGCAGGTGAATGAGGCATTCAATGTTAAAAAAAACTAGCTGCAAATTCTATGATGCTTTGGCAAGGAAAATAATATTAAAATCGAGAATGTTCCCAAATCAGCCGTGAATAATAACTTAACTGGCTAGTTGGCAGTCTTATACCCCACTACTCCAGTCAGTAACTTTATTTATATATGAATAACTGAACTGCATCTTTCCGTTTTATCTGGAGACTTTAAAGACAGAATAAAAGCTTGGGAGTTAAACTGCTTTTAAAAAGCTTAGGCCAAAAAATTGGCAAGAGGGAAACATATGCCTTTAAGAAAGGATTTATGTAATTTACATGTATTAAAATGAGCCATTTCCTCTTTAAACATTGGGGCAGCTAGAATGTTTAGAGTCACTGAGCTGTAATCACAAAGATTGGGTGGATTAGATAGATACCTGCAGTTTTAAAAGGGACACACTATTTTTCTAGAGAGGGATACAAAATATGTTAAAGTAACCTAATAGTGCTACCCAGGAGTCCAGGAAACAGTTTGGGATTCACCAACTGAACAATAAAGAAGAGCAACAAGAAGTATGAATTAGAGAAACATGTGGCCATTCGTCCTCGTTTGATTACAAAAAGAATGACCAAGAAGGTACCTTTAAAAGCATGAAGCTCTGAATTGTAGTAGGTGAAAGAAAAAGTCAAACAACAAACATTAACATTCTGTGGCTTTTGTAAAAGAAACACCGCACACTTCTGTTTTGTATACATTCTGCTACGGTCTATTACACATCGACTCATTAACTCAATCTTTAGGAGAACACTTCTTGTATCAGAAAAAACAATGGGAAAAGTGACAAGAGAACTTACCTGTAGGGATAAATGTAGGCTGTTGCAACTGCATGTTAGCTAGAGCCTGTTGGTAGTGGAAAACGCTTGGGTTAAAGACTGTGGTGGCACCATTGTTTTTTTCAAGTGCTGGCCTCTTTGGTAAAGGTTGAAGTGCACCAGGCGGCAGGGCCTGTGGATGAGGGATTCGTTAAAGACAAGTAGCAAAAAAAGGGAAAACAAAATTAGACAAAGCATGCAATAAATATTATGGAGCCTGGCCTGCAAATCTCCTGCAACTGTATCAACTTAGCAAGACAAGAAACAGAAGAGCAGCTAATTACGGTAAAGTAGTAGGTAAAGTCACAGGTTTACTAGGTAAGCAGTTAGTAAAGACAAGAAGAAAGGGTCCAAAAATAAGAGCGCTAGGAATGCTAAGGAAGCTTTTCAATCGGACTGATTTATGCACACAGAAAAAAGAAGGAAGTCATTTGGGCAGGACACAACAAAAAGCAGTTGCAGGCAACAAGTATTTTAAAACTATCAACTAAGAGAAACATAGTAGACAGCAATTTTAAATGAGAAGATTAGCATAAGCGACAATGCAACAGAAAAAATGAGATGCTTGCCTCTGCTAATGTTGTTTGTTTAAATATCTGCCTGTGTGTGAGAGCATATTGACACGTCGCTTATATTTGTATTAGGGTGGCAAAGTGGTAGCAGCTGCCAGTTATACGCCTGGGTTTCTACTCTGACTAGAGATGATGAACAATACTTAATATTGGGCCTGATTCTCCTTTCACTTACAACAGCTTTACACCTGGACTTCAGCAGTTACTCCTGATCTACAGTAGCGTAAGTGACACCAGAATCAGCCCTTTATGGTTTTATGTTCTTTAGAATATAGGTATTTCTTGCTGTCAGGTTATATGGAACATGTCAAGTGACAAGGTTGGGGTTTGTCTTCCTAAGCAGCAAATCTTCTCCTTTTGTTCGATCACATTACAGCACCTCCACTCAGTCAAACCTGTTTCATGATCCGACTTGGGAGAACGCTTTAACCTAGCGCAGGAGCTTTTCTTGGTAAGTTACTCATCCTTCATAAAGTGTGTCTGCTCAACACAGCTGTAAGCCAAGTTCTTAGGAAACAAGGAACATTGCTAACGATTTACAGCTGTTCATTGTAGCAAGGGAGAGAATTTCATTTCCCCCCCACATTGTGATAGGAAAGGCTGCCTTTCCGGTACTCCTACAATCCTTCTGCATGTAAGTTCCCCTTGACTTCATTGAGAATTCAGGCAAGTGGAAGCCCTACAGGATCAGGTAGTTTTTGCCTGGCTGATGGAATGTAGCAAAGCGATGGCTGGCAAATAGGATTATCTGTTTCAATCACTCCTATTTCCTCAAATGAATGCAAGCCAAGGTTCGGAAGCACAAAGAGCTTTAGCTAACAAGGGGTTAAGGCTACACGCAGAGCACTTGTCAGAAACCACACGAGGAAAGCAGCTGATAAATGGCATGAACGGAAATATACAGTAGACTCTATCCACTAAAACTTCCAACTGTTTGTCGCTGTACAGAAACAGGTTTCACTTAAGTTTTAAACGGCTATAGGAGACTGCGCATCTGAGAAATGTCAAACCAGTTACTTCCAGGCAAAATGACTGCCTTATGCCCATGTTTCCAGGGTTATTTTTGTTATGGTTTTCGTTTTAGTGCAATCAATTTACCAGAAGCAATTCTGCTTGCAAAAACTGCTCTCAGATAAGCACACCACTCCCACTGAAGTGTGCGTGCATCCGAGAGCAGAATTTGGACGAGTATCTCTCTAGACTTAGCTGGTCAGTTTTAGAGACAGCAAGCGTAAGTGGGTTACAGTTTTCAAATGTGAGTACTGAAAGGTAAGCACTTAAATCCACATTTACAGGCCTATCAAAGAGGCATCATTTATAGAGGTGCAGAGCCTGAAAATTTCATATTTCACTGATAATTATGGGATAAAGAGACTTCCTCCCTGAAGACTATATATATGGCCATCCTACATAATAGCACATGTATGTATATGCTGTTCCTCCATTCTCGAGTCCAGGCCCTCAGCTGGTGTAAACAGAAGTAGCTCCACTTACTTGAAAGAAGCTATGCTGATTCACACCGACTGAAGATCTGGCCCAGGTAGGCTCATATATGAATCATGCCCAAAAGGAAAACCTTCTTTTTCAGGTATTTCCCAAAAAACCCAGACAGGAGGTCACCAATTACAGTGAAGCAGCTTGCCATGTGCCCGGCAGAGAACCTTAGACTCACTGCCCTACTGAACAACAAGGGCACATGCGGTATCACACTGGAACTGCCCAGAGTTCCGATGTTAGAGGTGGCATCTGGGTGCCCGTCTCTGCTTCCATTTCAGAGCTGTCAGCCAGGCGATGGCCTTTGGGCTGTTCAGTCCCATGATGGCTCTCCCAGGGTGGTTGTCAGTTTACTGGGAAGAGGCCCTGAAGACACTTCCCTGATGAGCCTGACTGCTGTACACACTACCAGGCAGGGCAGAGATTGGGAAAAGGTAGAGGATTTGGGTGGGATACGTCCTCCTGTCAGGATGTGTGTTGCTACTCCAGGCAGTCTACAAAGCTCCTGTGTTCTCTGTGCTGTTGAAGCCACTGGGCCCATGATTTGGCCTGATCCAGAGGGATCCTTTTACCCACCACTGGAGCGAAACACTATTTTAACAGCACACAGCAACACACGAGTGTCACATAGATTCGTTTAGGGACAAAAGTAAAGAGCAATACCGTATCCAACTGAAAAGGCAGGGTGTGTGTGGACAGGCAGAGCTGGAATCCGGCCAGGACATTGGGGCAAACAAGACAGTCTTGTGAGAAGTGGGACGAGATCTTTAATGGCCTCAAACGGTCAGGGCCTGGGGTTCAGCAGCTCATGGGGAGGGCACATTTCCCACGCCACCATGCACTGATTCCAGCGGGAACAGCCCGCCCTGCTGAATCCGCCAAGGCGCTCCCTGCAGCACCCACACTGGGCAGCAGGGGGCTCATGCGCCGCCTGTGGACGGTGAGCGCGACCTTGCTCAGGCAGGGATGTCAATTTTGTGTGATTTGTGCTCTGGGACTGGTCACCTAAACAACATGGGATCGTTTCTGCTCCCTGGCCCGATTGGCGCTGACCTGCATTTGCATGCTAGTCATCCCTGCGTTCATGCGTGAATACGGGTATGGCAAAGAGAGCCATTCCTCAAAGCAGCGTGAAAAGAACCCTTTATGTCTGAATGGCTGAGTGACAGCAGATAAAAACGGGATGCTGCCCACCTGGCTGTATCCAAACGCGATTCAGAATTGGCCAACGTGTTGGTTAATAATTTCCCCTCTTACTTATGCTGTTCATGCAGGACGTTTACTAGCCACTCAAAGTTTTACTTCCACAGTAATCTCCTTGGGACAGGGATTGTCTTTTTGTTCAGTGTTTGCTCCTGGCCATGACTGGAGTTCTTCGTGATATGGTAACACAAATAATCATTAATAATTTCAAAGGGACTGAGGAGGGCACTCCATAAATACCAGAAGCACCCTGAGCCCAATCTTTGTCAGATGATTTTTATACACTACCCTAGGAAATTTGTTTTTTGGTGCAGGATCCAACACCAAATGTTCTAAACTCCAGGCTGTTCTGAGGACAGCAGTGTGGCTGCAGGCAGCAAACATTCAGATATTCCATGGTAGGAAGATTATTAAAGTTACTTAAGCATTTTGGGCTAGAGGCCAGATCTGTAAAGATATTTAGGTGCCGGGAGATGGAGATAGGTGCCGAGTGGAATTCTCAAAAGCGCCTAGAGCCCAGATCCACAAAGGCGCCCTATCTGCATCCTATCCTTTAGGAACCCAAATACCTTTAAAAATCTGACCCTAGATCCTCCCGTCCAGTGGTTTTTAACCCGTGTAAGATTTCCAATGGGGGCCACACCTCCATTCAAAAGGTTTTAGGGGTCTGCAAATGAAAAAAGGTTGAAGACCACTGCTTTAGTCTGTTCACGTTCTGCTTCTGAGGATGGAGAGGGGAGAGCCCAGGTGAGTTCTTTTCCGCCTGCCATGTCTCCAGTACTGGGAGTGGTGGTTCTTGGGAAGGCAGGACTTCCACGGAGGGAGTTCTCAGGTAGCCAGCCATGCTGGCTTTGTGCCAGCTGACTGGCACAAATCAACTACAGCAAGAGCCAGCAACAGGCCTTTGCTGTTTCCTTTTTATGTGCTCTAACTCTGATGGCAGTGAATGGAAGCTGGTGCCCTAACACGATTTCCTAGGTAGCCATTGTGCGTGTTATTCAAGGTTCTGACAGGGAATTCTATTGTCCATTTAAACAAAAATATGAAGTCTTCAAGGGTCCTTGTCCTAAAAATTACACCTCTGTTGTATAACATTCACCCAATGGAGGGTCTAAATAAATGTGTTATTCTCCCAACCTCTAGATTAGCTGCTCAGCCACTGACCAGAACCAACTCCCACGGAAATCGGTGGGAGCCTTCCCAAGGATGTCAATGGGCTTTGGAGCAGGTCCTAAATCTGGGCCCTGTCCTCTTCAGTGTGTCCCTTTAAGGATTATAATTACTAGCAAAAAATAGCAGTGACTGGTGAGTTTCCCGTGTCCTTCAGTGATAAACATTTCCACTCCTCCCCCAGAGAAGTGGTTGCTTTTTCTAGGCTGTCATGGTCACTGCCTGCCGAGCTTTGGGGAAGAAGTGGGTAAAACAGTATCTCAAAGGGAGTGGATGGAAATCCCAAGTTTTTGGAAAATCTCAACAGGACTGAATAGATTCAAAAAAAATCACTAGTAAAAATTAACATCCTGTCGTAAGCCCATGTACAGCACAAAAACCTCAGCCTGAAACAACTGGCAATGCTTAAATAAAGCCCTCAGTGTTGGGGTTTCTAATGATAAGGCTGCTGGAAACGTGGCAAGAGTGGCTTGAATGGTGTCTCCATGTCTAGACTTGGAAGGATTGGATTTTTAATCAGTAATTGTTGGTAAGAGGTGATTTCACCGTAAACACACACACACACACGGATGAAAAAAATATTTCCATTGAGAACAATTGAAATTTGCAGATGAGCAAAGTAGGAAAAATGCTGCTTGAGAACGTATGAGGGTTTGATTTAAGGCTATTTACTTGTAATTGTGGCGTGATGTTAGCAATTTGTGTTCTAGCAGTTCTAAAACTAACTTTTTTGAATCTCAGCGTCCACTGTCATTAAATAATTATTGTCTGACCTTCCTATTGTCTGAAACTGCCCCCCATAATTTCTTGCAACTGTGAACATTTAAATCAATAAAAATTTTTTAAAAAATTTAAAACCTATAATTTTGTGTAACTGTCCAAATTTAAATTGATAAACATTGAAAAAAAATGCTTAAAAATAACATCAGTATTATCCCTCGAAATGATCAAACACAAAATGACAGAATTCTGCTAAGCCTATCTATATTGTATTCCCAGGGTTCTCTGACACATTCAATGCCTTTCAGAACTGAGGTGTGAAAGACATCCTACTATGCCCCGTGTTTCACAATGCCACAGATGCTGGTGTTTGAAAACAGGCTGATTAAAAACAGTGTGATAATTAAATGGCTCCAGAAATGCATCTGGGTTTCCTGAAGAATAGCCCGGATCATGAATCGTTTCCAAAGGCCTACACAGAGAAATGCCCCGTTTTGGCATGGACTGTCGGGTCTGAAAGAACGTTGTAACATTTCAGCGCAGGATGGGCAGTCTCCTCAAGGCGCAACACAAAGTAACCAATGAAAAGGTATTCATGCAGTCTAAGATGGTCACATGCAAAGCAAGAAGGTGAAAGGTCCAAGTACCAGGTCAAAGGTTGCCTCGAGGGGTCGCTTCAGTGATCTGACAGCTGGCTGAGTCTTAATTAGCAGGCAGCGAGCACATGATGGCAATGGGCCAAAGGGGGGTTCAAGCACAACAACAAAAAACAGCAAGCAAAGGTGCGTCAAAAGGAGAGCAACGTTGTGGATAGGTGAAGAGAAAAAAAAATGAATGCATTATACAATATATTAAAAAGACTAGGCATGCACAACATGGGGAGTTCGCTACAGTTAATCGGACTAACTATTAGTCAGCTTTTTCCTCTTGGCAATCTTTAAGGACAAAGCAATCCCCTCACAGATCACAGAAAGCATTTGACCTAAACTAATTTCACTGCGGCTCACAACGTATCAGCCTATAGCTACTTGAGAATTAGCTGGTGGAGCTGGGGTTTTTTTAACCATGTTTTTCATGCTTTAGTCAATGATATGGCTTGGCATGCCAGACTCAGAGCTTGAATCTGCACCGACACAGCACACGGGAGGGGGCAAGGAAGGCGTGCCTGCTCAGGAAGGGTGCTCCGGCACATGCTTAAGTGCTTTTCTGAATTGGGGCCCAACGGCCTGATCCGAATCCCACCGACTTCAGTGGAATTGGATCAGGCCCCAAGTGAGTAAAGTTACTTGTGCATTAAGTGCCTGCAGGATGGGCCCTTCAGATGATCTTCCTGAGCTTTTAGGAGATGAATGGATCCAAAATCTACTTGACAGGGGCTGGTTCAGATGCTTTGCATCATATGTGATTCTTGATGAAAGCTCAGAAGCCATTCTTTTCTTTTTTAAATTATTATCCTCACCAGATACAAGAAATGCATCAAACCTCCAAAAGTGAATGAATAATGGAAACTGTTTTGGTAGTAAGTGTGCTGCAACAAGCAATCAATAAATATTGTAAAGGTACTAGTTAATGGCATACAAATAGGGTTAATTACTTTTATGACAGGAGCCGGCAGCATGAATAAAACATGCATTGGCTTTAATTTAGTATAAGTGTCCTAGGAAACTAGTAAAAAGTAAAGCTTCATTTTGTAAAAAAAAACAAAAACAAAAAAAACCCCACACACGAGTTTACATTTCTCCGAGTGAAGTAGAGCTGTTCTTTCAACAACAAAAATAATAATGAAGAATTGCTACTCCCCTTCCCTTTTTACAAATAAACTGTGTAGGGCAGATAAATACTGTAATATAAATTGTTTCCTCATATACATCCTTCCATGGATTCTACTAGAGGACAGCTGTTTTATTTATATAATCCAGGGCACAAATGTAATATTGCTTAGTGCCTGAAGGATAATTGCTTCCAGTTTTTGCATTATGTTTCATCATGAATGGAAAGTACCCTCTCTTGCTATCTGCGGGGAAAGTTGCTCCATAAAAGCCAATTAGTCTTAATTCATTAGCATTTCTAAATCAGCAAAAGAAGTAAGAACCCCTTTTTCAATATTAATTATCCATACAAGAATGTACAATAGCAATAACTCCTCCTCCAGACACACTACTTCACCTCTGCAACTGGGCTTTGTTCCCGTTTTGAAATGTACTTATGGTACCATACCCTCAGCTGTGTAAATGGATGCAACTCCACTGAAGTGAACAGAGCTGCATCCATTCACCCCCTGGCCCATGAGTACTAAAGCTCCCTTGGCTTGTTTTTAGACCTTTATTTATCACTATGCTCCTTTGGGATGCAAAGACTCCAATTAAAATGCACTCAGGGCTTGATTCTGCCTGGTGCTGAGCGCCTCCTCCTAGCTACAGAGCATCTTCAATCTCCCTTTGACTGGGGGGAATCATCGCCTCACAGGACTGAACCTTAGTAACAGCACAATGCTGCTTCATTTTCTAGAATCAGCAGGTGAAATTCTGGCTCCACTGAAGTCAACAGTTTTGCCATTGACTTGAATGGGGCATGTATATTACCCATTCAGTCTGTAATCAAATTTGCTTTGCACACTATTCAGACTAAAATGGTAGCCAAGGCTTGCACAGGGAAAAGTTTGTGTTCATTGTTAGTGACGTCGTATTAACATTTGATGCATTTCACTCCATAACGTCATGTCGGAAGACCATGTGCTTTTGCCATCACGTCCCCAAACAATGAGATACGATGCATCATGCTACACTGATTACAATGAAGGGATGGAGAGATGGACACACTCTCAGCTCATCACTTAAACTTTTCCAAATACTTAGCATCACTTTTCTACTTCCTGCATATATAAAATCGTTTCATACTGGCTCTAAGGTTTGATACGGCAGGTCGTGCCCTTACCATTGCAGTTGCAGCTGTCTGGTTCACCTGGTGTTGAGCTGCCTTGATTTTGGCTTGCAGGTGTGCAGGGGGATGAAAGTACTTGCATTTCTCCCTAGAGCATCGGCCTTTGATGTAATCCATGCAAACTGTAACAGTGTTTTCGTTTGTGTCTATCATTGCAATATCTATGGGGTGAGCGTAACGGCAATCATTCTCACCACGAGTGCAATTTCCACGCTGAAACTCTCGGCAAACCTGAAAAGAAAGTCACCTAGTTGAGCACGACATTGAGTCAGCCTTCTCTCAGCACGTTCAACCAGGGATGGCAGTCGAGTGGGTTGCATTACACTCAGGAGAGCTGTGGTTCTGATTCCACACTCTTCAACCCTTGACAGTGCTATTCCCCACCAGTCCGGGTGCAGAATCATGATCGGGCTATCTACAATATTAACAATGGTAACAGAAAGTGTGGAACAGGACACGTGCAGAATTTACACTTCCCAGGGCAAATCTTGGCCCCACTGAAGTCAATGGGAGTTTTGGCATTAACGTCCAGGGGCTAGTATTTTACCCCTACCTTTAAGCTACATTATATTTTAATATTGCTGCCATTTTTGCCTTACTGAGATCTGGGTTTAAAAATATTCAGCAGAAAATCATTCTCTCAAGCAATACATTTAATGTACAAAGAGTAAGCTACTAACATTTGCAACAAGTCCTGCCTAAAATGGGCTGATTAATTTCCCCCAGAAAAACTCTGACCCACCAGTTACATGACAATGTGTCTGATGACAATGAGTTAAAACCCAGTAATGTGCTCTGAAGGCACGGCCGGAATTGCCATCTTAGTGAAGGACAAGCCGTTCCTTATATATTATGAATAACAAAACGTCAAAGGCACAGAGCCACATTTCTGTAAAATGGATCTTCAAGGTTTCCTTGATCTGGGGAATTTAGAAAAATCGCTAGCTGATATATTGGGTCAAAATTCAGATGCCCTGATGCTAGTGGTGTCAGTTACACTCAGTTATATGCTTAGGGACGGGTCAGAAGGACTGTAGCAGGAAAAGCAATCCCCCAGAGGGCATAAAGGTGGACGACAAAGAAGGGTGACAGCTGAAGGATCTGAGTGACTTTTTTTACACTGACATCCTGAGAGATAATTTACACCAATCTTTGTGGCTCCCTTGGAATTTGGGCCATCAGCCCTTCGTTCCTAAAATGTACTTCCTGTCTAAACTCAACCCTTCTTTAGGTTTTCAATATACATACAGTATTAACACTCCCTGTGGTGCCCCCTAAATAAACACTGACTACACTGAGGTGAGTGGTCTTATTGGAAAAGACGCCTTTATGCTCAAAATGTTTATTCAATATTATACTTAAACTCTACGACCACCAACCTCCTCCCCGCCCAACCTGGCTTCCCTAGAAGAGTGACACTAAGTCTGAAGGGAAACAAAACTAACACTGTGACCTCAGCAAGTGCCATTCGCATAGGGCCTGATCCAACTTCCCTGGAACTCAGAGTCTTTGCATCGACTTCAACAAGAACTGGATCAGGCCCAACTTGAAAAGAGGGAAGAGGCTGTCACCTCCTGTCCAGATTCTTATTCAAAGCACGTCTAACCTAACTCGTCGCTAAGGAAAGTTCTGCCTTAGATGCGAATGGGTGACCTCGCCTAAGCCTGGCAAGTGTAACACTCACAGAAACTGATTTTATCGAATTGTGACCTAACAGAAAAAGGTAGGGCCTGCCCCCAAAGTGCATTGAAATCAAGGGAGAGATCAAGCTTACAAGCCTCCAGTGACTTCAGCTCGGGCCTACAATGAACAACCTGTTGCAGGGTGTAGTAGCACCAACAACTTAAAAACTTCTTAACTCAGAGCAAGGCTCTCAAAATAGCTTGCCTTGCAAAAAAAAGCGGGTCAGATTCTGCCCTGACTGACACCTGTGCATTGAAGGCCACAATGCTGTTCTGGATTTACACTGATGCAATGGGGAGCAGAATTTGGGCCAATGTGCCCCTTAAATCCCCTACCATAATATTGTGTTTTACAGTCCACATACCTCCAGTTTATCTGTACGCATCAGTTTCTGAGCAACAGAGCCTCCCGGTACTGTAACAGTAGGATTCCCGGAAACCAAGACAGGCGTATTTGGTAAAAGTTCTGCAGGAACCAAGCCCATCCCAGGAGAAACATGACTTAGGTAGGGACTAAAAGCCATGGTGGGACTAGTTGCAAGTGATGGAGTCACAGGAAACGTAGTCTGCATGTAAGAAAAAGGAAAGAAATATGTTACCACAATGCTCGGTCATGGATTAGGGCGGTCAAAGATGTTTATAACCTGATAGACAGCGTGGTTAGCAACATCAAAATGCTTTGCTTTTCAGTCTATTAATTTACTGTCATTTACTTGTGATCCATTTGTTTCTATTGACTCATATGTACGTGACACATTCTAAACAAAAGACTTCTTCATTTGGAAGAACAAAGAGTATCGATGATCTTTATAGTTTAACGACACAATTAAGAATGCAGGCCAGTAATCAGAGCAGGCGCAAATTAACCAGTCATCTCACTCCCAACCAGTTTCTCCCAAATGAATTTCTCCTTTACCTGACCCCACGATGGGCCCCCTCCTATAATATGCTAAGCATCCCGCAAGGTTGGGATCCATATAATTACCAACATCTATGCCCCTCACACTGCAGCTATTATTGGCACATATATCTGGCATTGTATTGGACCTGTCTGAATGAGAAGACCATTATGTGATGCTCACTAACCCTACAGCTAAGTCACCTTGTGCCATGATCTTGTCAGATCTCCCAAGAGTCGGCAAGATCAGGTAGGTTCAGTATTTGGAAGAGAAATGACCAAAGAACACCCAGGTGACTTGGTAGGTGGTACTCTTCTCTCTGGGCCAAACTAAACCAGTGCCCCGGGATGGCATTAGGAGGTACTGGGATACTAGAGGTGTCATGTTCTGGATAAGACATAAAAGCTCTTGAGTCTGGACCACACGTGATCATTAAAGATCCCATGGCAGTTTGGTAAGAGCAGCTGAGTTGTTATCCAAGTGTCCTGGCCAGTTTCCATCTTGGCAACTCCCCCAGCAATGTCAGTTGGATAAGAGAATTTTCACTCTCTCTTTTGGCCCAGATCTAGCAAAGCACTTAAGCAGGTGCTTAACTTTAAGCATGTGACTAGTCCCACTGAACTCAATGGGACTTTTGATGTGTTTAACATTAAGCGAGGGGCTGGGGACTGGACTAGATCCCTTGAGCTCCCGTCCAGCCCTCCACTTTTATAATTCTGTATGCTTAAGTGCTTTGTCAGATCGGGACCCTAAACGATTGCTGTGCATTGGGGAACCACTGCTATGTTTCAGACCAGAAGTGACACTCCCAGGAATGGGTGAGATGATGTGTGTGTGTAGTCAGTTTGTACTTTGTAACGTGCTTTGGGAAGGAAGACGCTACCGTGCTGAACACAAGACTGTCCACCATTGCTGTCTTAGCAGTCAACGCTTCTTCTGGAGAATGTCGAAGTCACAGAAGTGATGGAATTTAAGGCCAGAAGGGAACACCTGATCACCTAGTCTGAGCTCCTGTATACCATAGGCCGCCGGTGCCACTCAGCACCCACACACTAAACCCAATAACCGATACCAGACCAAGCTGTGGCAGCCTTCAGATTTCCCTCAACTGCAAATGAATCTCTCCACTACAGCTGCAGTTCAGTGCCTATGTAGCTGCAGTAGGAACACGTGAATTAGTGCTGCTTCAAAACAACGGTCAGGCCAAATCTCACTCCTGATCTGTGAAAAATGCCAACTGATACAGAAAGAAGCTGCATGCACAGTGGGCCCGACGTAAAGCCTGTTGAAGGCAATGGGAATCAATCGATTTCAATGGGTTTTGGATCAGGCCCAGCGTGAGGTGAGCATGGGGGCTCGTAATCATCATCGTTATCCTTCTCCATGACATCAGTCACCTTCAACGTAAAATTTTGGTTATGACAAAACCCTATTTACACACTCGCAAATCTCCAATTCTACTGCAGGCAGCTAGACTCCCTGCTCAGCAACAAAAACAAGCCTATTGCAAGAAAACCACAAGCGCATGCACACAGATGTGTGCACACAAACACACGCTCATGGACACATGCGTGCACGGACACGCTCATTCACAGACACATGCACACAAATACATAGACATAAGGTCGTGTGCACACACACACACACGCACCCAGGTTTATGTTTGCTTTTTTATACCCAAAATTCTCTTTCGATGGTGCAGATTTCAGAAAACCCACATGGGTATATTTTGTTTCTTGCCAGTTCCCTCACACTAGCCCTTTCACATACTAGCAAACACCTTGACTGTTGTGAATTGGAATACATTATCTACTCTCCTTTGCCCAAGGTAACGTCAACCCAAGTACATCCCACGTTCTTGACTTAACAGCGATCTAGAATGACTCCACTTTTGCACAGTTGTGGTGACAGCCAGCAGCATCTTCCTTGTCTCTAGGACCATGGTAGGGTTAGGTGTGCAAGGCCATTTCCCAAATACATCCCGCTGTGTCTCAGAATGAGTCGAGACAGGATGCTCAATCAGTGAAGCAGACACTGTCAATCTGGCAGAGCTAAAAAATCCTCTCTCTCCAAGAGACGCTTCCAGGTTTCCTCCCTTGGGTCCACACCACGTTGGGGCCTGATTCAAGACCATCAGAGTGGATGGGAGATTTTAAATATTACAACCGAGCGATTTCAACACACCGCTCTTTAATAAATCACTTTCTTTCCTATTTCAATTCTTGCCGGCTCCCAGCCACACTACATCTTCTGTTGTTAGAAAAACTCTTTGAGGGTCCTGAAATATGTGGCTCCCAAAACCACGTCGCAGGTCAGTGGAAGGCAGCAGCGCACAGACTGGTTTTATTTTTTAGAAGCACTAGTAATTACAGTGGCGCCTGTTAAACGTCTGTTGGCGTTTCCATTGTTAATCCTTTTTTAAAGATACTTATAACCTGGTCAGTTCTAACAGCATCGGGCTGGAACCTGACGCAGCCCTTGTTTTATGGACACACTCATCCACTGTGGCCCAAACTTTCCCGCCCATGTGTGCACAAGCGGTGCTGACCTACTTTACACCGGCTGCTCACGACCCCTGGGAGTCGAATGGCTGTCCTGGCCAGGAGGGAGCGCACCGGAGAAGCTTCTACGTCACCCAGGCAGGGTAAACCCTTGAGGAGAGCCTTTAAGCCAAGTTTACAGCTGACTACGGCTGCTCTGTGCCTCAGCTGAGCCAAGGGTGTGCCCCACAGGGGCCATGGTTCAGAGATGAAGGAAGGATGTTCCTCCTGGATGCTCCTGCTGCTTCCGGATGGAGCAGGGCAGGGAAAGCCAGCGGGCCTGGAGCCCTGGGCAGGTGCTCGTGGTTCGGGAGGGGAGGCAGTGGGGACTGGAACACATGGCAGTAGCCGGAAGGAATATATCTGAGCAGGGTGAAATATTCCCAATGAAACACCCGCTCCACCAAGGCTTTTGGGTTTCTTTAGGAACCGGAAGATGGGCCCAGTTCCCTGAAAAACTCACAACTTCCTGCAGATCCTTCACTTAAACCAGGCCCCTTCTCTAGTGGAAAGCAGCCGATTTCCAAACAAATATGGGTGCATTCTGAGCAAAGGGGCCTCGGGCATGGTGAAGATTACATCTTCTCAACGTGAAAAACAGCCGTCTCCTGGAATTGCATGGCAAAGCAAAACTGAGGGGTCCAACATGTCTAAAAAAAGGCAGTGGGAAACGTCCAGGCAAAATGATTCAGACACACCATCCCCAGTTTTGCCCAACTCATGTTCTCTCTCTCACTCTCCCACACATAGGGCCAGATTCTCTGCTCCATTATGGCCCCTTTGCACTGCTCCAATGGCAAATTTGCAGCTGGCTTACGCGGCTACCCAGAGATTCCCCCAAAGTACTCAGCATTCCCAGGGGGGTGGAGCTGACCTCGCTGTCTTTCCATCATGTGCCTGCCATCCCCCAGTGTGTTCCAGGACTAAGGGAACTCAAAGGTGGTGTCACATCACCTCTGCCCAACCCTCATCTTCCTGGTCCTGAGCACAGCAGAGCGTGGCTGGATTGAAGAAATACATGCACACACGTGTGTACACACACACACGGGCATGTGCAATGGGACGTGTGAGTCTTTTAATTGCTGCAGGTGACACGCACATTGGTTTACCCAGTTCTCAGGAGGGCATCAGCCGCACAGTCCTCAAGGTTTCATAACAATGGCTTCTGCTTGTCTAAATTCCACACACCAGTGGTGCTGACTGAAAATCCCCACCCTGCCCTAGGGCTCAGACTGAAACTCAGAAGCTTCCCATTCATCTTCACTTGGACGGCTGGAAGTTCCCACTCCTGCCCTGCCACAGGCAGCCAGCTACCGCTCATGAAAATGAGCAATTGATGTCATTAGCCCTGGCCACGTACACTGCAGCCCAGCATCACGCAAGCTTCTCCAGCAGCCTGTCCAATGAACCTCAGTCTGGACTTACAGCACAAATCCTGTCCTTGGCCTCTCCTTCCAAGAGCCTGTTCTACAGAAACGACTCGAGCAGCCGTTGATATTGCCAATTCGTTTAATTTGTGCCCTACATCGAAGCAGACCATTAAATGGCCTGGGGAGGGTCTGGATTTATTGCGGTTTGCAAGTAAAAAGATGGCTTTCCTAATTGCCTGGCTCCTGAATCATTACCAGTAACAAAGACTCTGCTGGCCGAATTCTGTCCTCCTGGAAATCTGTGCAGGCTCCCCAGGCCAGATTCCTTCCCGACATAAATGCAACAAACTCCTCGTAGACAGTCAATTCCTGCTCAGCACAACTGAACTGTTCCTTGAGACCCTCAATGACAGCCTAATCCTGGTCCCCTCGCTCACGTGAGCAATCACTAATAATTCCAAGCTCTTATCTAGTGCTTTTCATCAGTCGATCTCAAAGCGCTTCGCAACGGAGGCAAGCATCATTACCCGCATTTTACAGACGGGGAAATGGCACTGTCTGCTTTGTGTGGGGAACGGGATCTGGCCCCAAGGACGTTTCTACGGGCTGGCAATGTTTAGGGGCAATGTAACTGTGTGCTGTATCCTCTCATGCCCCTTAAGTGTACGGCCTGGGAGCTTCTGGGAACCTGTAGCTCTGAGACCCCAGGACAGGTAAAGTTTCAGTGTAATACACACAAGGACAGAGCTCAGACTCT